GTGTTTGGCTTTATTCTCTCTCACTGCGTGTTTGGCTTTATTCTCTCTCACTGTGTGTTTGGCTTTATTCTCTCTCACCGCGTATTTGGCTTTATTCTCTCTCACCGCGTGTTTGGCTTTATTCTCTCTCACTGTGTGTTTGGCTTTATTCTCTCTCACTGCGTGTTTGGCTTTATTCTCTCTCACTGCGTGTTTGGCATATTCTCTCTCACTGTGTGTTTGGCTTTATTCTCTCTAACTGCGTTTTTGGCTTTATTCTCTCTCACTGTATGTTTGGCTTTATTCTCTTTCACTCCGTGTTTGGCTTTATTCTCTCTCACTGTGTGTTTGGCTTTATTCTCTCTCACTGCGTGTTTGGCTTTATTCTCTCTCACTGCGTGTTTGGCTTTATTCTCTCTCACCCCGTGTTTGGCTTTATTCTCTCTCACTCCGTGTTTGGCTTTATTCTCTCTCACTGCGTGTTTGGCTTTATTCTCTCTCACTGCTTGTTTGGCTTTATTCTCTCTCACCCCGTGTTTGGCTTTATTCTCTCTCACTGTGTGTTTGGCTTTATTCTCTCTCACCCCGTGTTTGGCTTTATTCTCTCTCACCCCGTGTTTGGCTTTATTCTCTCTCACTGCGTGTTTGGCTTTATTCTCTCTCACCGCGTATTTGGCTTTATTCTCTCTCACCCTGTGTTTGGCTTTATTCTCTCTCACTGCGTGTTTGGCTTTATTCTCTCTCACTGTCTGTTTGGCTTTATTCTCTCTCACTGCGTGTTTGGCTTTATTCTCTCTCACCGCGTGTTTGGCTTTATTCTCTCTCACTGCGTGTTTGGCTTTATTCTCTCTCACCGCGTGTTTGGCTTTATTCTCTCTCACTGCGTGTTTGGCTTTATTCTCTCTCACCCCGTGTTTGGCTTTATTCTCTCTCACCCCGTGTTTGGCTTTATTCTCTCTCACTGCGTGTTTGGCTTTATTCTCTCTCACCGCGTGTTTGGCTTTATTCTCTCTCACCCCGTGTTTGGCTTTATTCTCTCTCACTGTGTGTTTGGCTTTATTGTCTCTCACCGCGTGTTTGGCTTTATTCTCTCTCACCCCGTGTTTGGCTTTATTCTTTCTTTCACAGTGTGGTTTTCTCCTGGAGGCGGCACTCGAGGTATCAGTCTGCTCTCCTTCATAGCACCAGCTATGTTTACGTATAATTTACTCAGATTGATGATTATCCTCATTAGATAACTGTGGTTTAGAATAACCAGATTTCTCTGTAAGGAGGTTATGCGTTATAATCTTGCTCTCTAGGATTTTGTTATTTGATTGCTGTCCTGGATCAAACATTCTCTCCCTACCCCTATTTAAAGGAACACTCTCCTTGCCGAGTAGAGATTGCTGTGGTGTGTGAGAACTGGAACCAGGGCAATGTACGTTGGCAGTCCTCCAAACTGTAGAATTTTGTTGCATCTCACAATGCATCCTGCAACTATTTTTATTTAGGGAAATTACACACATACTCACATTGATATACACACACATTCATATACATACACACACACACATCCATATACATACACACACACACACACACACACACACACATCCATATTTTATTTAATATGTTCATTCTATAATGAATCCCACTCAGTCTCTCCTACCCACCTCTCCTGGGGAGTGTTGGAATGGGACCTCATCCCAGGCTCCAGTAGGGAGTGCACAGTTCCTAGTTCTCCAGAAAGCTCTGTTCTCACGCTGTTTCTGGGGTGACATGACTAGAGAGCAGGATCGAACTGAGACAAAAATTATATTTTAAAGCGTTGCAGTACGATAGCAGGTAGCGAGGACAGAGTTATCACCAATGGCAAGCATGCCCCCTTAAAATGAACAGGTTACTTTTGTCCACCTCCATGGCAGCCCACGTGTAGTGATTTGCTAAAATGCTCTTTCATGCGGGAAATGGCCCGGTGTTTGATTGGCACAACACAAGCACATTTGATGACATACTTGAGCTGTGTTTGTTGGGGACATGTCTAGTGTCCTAATAAAGGCTGGTAAGGGGTGATGTGCATGTGTGGGGAGCTTGTCTGGTATTTTGTATGTGTGTCTGCTTGTGGAATTACATTTATGCAAAGGGCATGGGCAACAACAGGAGGATGCTGGGGGCTTAAGCCGCAAATGTGAGGCTTTATAGTCCCGGATATCTTTTTTCTTTTTTCGCTGTTTCCCCTGGACACTCCAGGTTTCCTTGGTGAGTCTAGGAGTCTAGAATAGTGAATGGAAGCAGTACAGTGATGCCTTTGTGTAACTGTCTATGCCATGTGTGTCCGAGTTTGCTTATCTGTGCCTGTGTGTACTTGAGTCTGTCCGTGTGTGCCTGTATGTAACTATCTGTGCCTGTGTTTGTCTGAATGTGCCTGTTTGTACCTCTCTACCTGTCTGTGTGCACCTGTCTGTGTCTTGTGTACCTGTCTGTGGATGTGTGTACCTGTGTGGGCCCACGTGTGTTCAAGTGTACCTGCCTTTGTCTGGGTGTACCTGTCTGTGTATGTGTGCCTCTATGTTGTGCATCCCTCAGCTGCCTGTCATCCACTGTAGACCGTCCCGATCCCCCATTTGGTATACTACTATAACTTTAAGTTCTGTGATTTGTGAGAGCTAATGTACAGGAATGTGTCATTGTTTAAGGTGAAATCATTATGCAATTATTTTGCAGACATTTTTAACAAGCAAACAGACATCATTCTGGGTTGGTAAAGAAGCAGTAAAGACACAGAATGGACTGGAATGGACTTGGCCCAATGAATATCAGATGTGAGTTTGAGGTGTTTTTCAAAATCACATTTTAACAATATGTATAGTTTTCATAACATATTACTATATACAAAAAGATGCACCCCTTAGTTAATAATCCAAATCTCTTTATTTAATACAAAACAAAGACTTACAAGACTATAACAACCACTGACAAAGGCTACAAAATATGCTCTAAATCAAAAAGGCATAGAAACGAACTTGCATGTTACCTCTGAGGGCTGGACACGTGTACAGAACAAAATGCTAACGTTTCGACACAGCTACTAGTGCCTGATGGGATAACTACCACGTGTCCAACCCTTTGAGGTAATATGCCGGTTTGATTTAGAGCATATTTTGCAGCCTCTGTCACTGGTTGTTGTAGTTATGTAAGTGTTTGTTTTGTATTTTTGTTTGAGTTACATTGTTTGTATAATAACGAGATTTGGATTATTAACTTGTATACAGTAATGTGATGTTTGGCATTAAGGGATAGCATCCATAGATGTCATGTGAATTGCAGCCACTTTCTAATTGAATTTCGTTAGTTAGTTTTCATAATATGTCCTCTTCAGACTTTTTTTTTTTCATTTATAAAGAAAATACTAGAATTTTGCCTTAATAAGCAAAATAAAATTGTGATTTGTCAGAATTTTTGGCAATCTGTGATTTGTTTGAATTCCTCAGTTGTAAAATGCTATCAGAACAAATCACGAAACCTAGAAAATTGGCAGTGGATGAGTTGTTTTGGTTTGTGAATGGATTCGGAGTTCTGTCCATGTCTCCAAAATGAAAAATATGATTGATAGAAAAAAAGATGATTGCTGGTTAGGGGAGAGTCACTAGATGTTGAGCTCGGAATGCTCAGTAGAAGCCACTAGTGAGGCAAATGTACTATAGTAAGACAAACTCCACCCAAAAGGAAAGGGGGTGAAAGGAGGGGGGGAGGGGAGGGCAGGTGGAACACCCCCCCAGAATACTGAATTATACCATTTGGTAATAACTAACAGCTCAATCAGTGTGGGTTCCTTTTGGCCCATTAGCGAATAGACGGTCCTGGGGACACAGGTATCCTATCTATATAAATGATCATATAACATGGATGTAAATAAACATGTTTCACCTTCCGATATTGTTCTATTACAGATACGGTTATATAATGTGTGGATTATTCCAGGATGGGAGACTGGGAAGAGATCATTACTACAGCCAACATAAATGGATCTGTGAAAGAAATCTGATTGCACTTGAAGTATATAATACTCACTATAAAGAATTTAAATGTTCAATAACCTTTCATGGTGTAAAGATGAAATGTGTTTACTAAATGATTGGCTTTACTTTCTGTATATATTATTTTATTTCCCTGGTATATGTAGACACTTTGTAGAAGAACAATAAATGATTTTCCGTATATACTGAAGTATAAGTCGACCCGAATATAAGCCGAGACCCCTAATTTTACCCCAAAAAACTGGGAAAACTTATTGACTCGAGTATAAGACTAGGGTGGGAAATGCAGCAGCTACTGGTAAATTTCTAAATAAAATTAGATCACCCCAAAAATTATATTAATTGAATATTTACATTGTGTGCATATAATGAATGCAGTGTGTGTGTAGAATGCAGTGTGTGTGTGTGTGTATGAGTGCAGTGTGTGTGTATGAGTGCAGTGTGTGTGTGTGTGTGTGTATGAGTGCAGTGTGTGTGTGTAGAATGCAGTATGTGTGTGTATGTATGAGTGCAGTGTGTGTGTGTGTGTGTATGAGTGCAGTGTGTGTGTATGAGTGCAGTGTGTGTGTATGAGTGCAGTGTGTGTGTATGAGTGCAGTGTGTTTGTGTGTGTGTATGAGTGCAGTGTGTGTGTGTATGAGTGCAGTGTGTGTATGTGTGTGTATGAGTGCAGTGTGTGTGTGTGTGTGTGTATGAATGCAGTGTGTGTATGTGTGTGTATGAGTGCAGTGTGTGTGTGTGTGTATGAATGCTGTGTGTGTATGAGTGGAGTGTGTGTGTGTGTATGAGTGCAGTGTGTGTGTGTATGGCATAAATACCGGGCAGGTAGCCCACATTAAACAGATCTCTGCTTAACCCTCAATACGGAGCTTGGTCTCATACTTGGGGGTATTGGATTTGTATGGTTTACTCGTTCGGCTGTTTGGTTCGTGAAGGATTTAGTATGGTTCCTGTTCGGCTAATTGGAGCTTTCGTTTGCTGCTTCTCTATTCGGAAAGGGAACATCTTCATCGGTATTAACCCCTCTTATACCTGGGTGTACTGTAACACAAGCATATCTTATATTGTCATGTTGTAATCATGTTGCTATAAGGGTGTTTTCCTGTATTTCTTTTTGCCCCCTTTTTACAGGCCTACCCCTACGTCGGTTTCGACACAACACGTCTTAATTCCAATCACAAGGTATTTCACGATTACAATATGAAAGGCCGAAGGCCTGTATTTGTGGGAGGCGTTAGCGTTCCTATAAAAACGCTACTCCCCCTTCCTACATTGACGAGGCTTGCGCTGTTCACCCCATCCACCTTACCCTCTTACCTATACAGTCTTTCGGGAGGCCCCCTTTTTACAGACCTACCCCTATGTTGGTTCTGGCACACCACACCGACTTAACTCCAATCACAAGGTATTTCACGATCACGATATTAACCGACCACAAGTGAATTTATTTTAAATTACTTTTCCTAAGCTGAACATATTATGCACTCATTATTATCGCCAAAACTGTAAAAAAAAATTTTTTTAGTTTTTTTGAAAAATAAATTGGAATTTATATATGGATATGTCACATCAAATTAAAGCCCTTTTTGCCCTCTAAAAAAACTGTATATACTATGCGTTGGTACAATAAATGAGAGAGATGTAAATTACGTTTGTATACAAATGGCAAATAAATTAGGACATACTTGAAAACGAGAGAAATCTCAATGTATCTTTCCTGGTAAAATATTTTATAAATAAATGCAAAAATTGCTTGTGTCCTTAAGAGTAATTTCAGCTTCTGAAGCAGTGTCCTTACCGGTTTTATGAAGCAGTTTTGGTGAATAGATCATATCCCTGCAGTGTCTCTGCTCAATTCCCTGCCATTTTTTAATATATTGTTCCCCTGAATGGATTGATTATGAAAATGTATGTTTTATGTTTATGACATGTATATTTTAGAAGTTATAAATATTGTGTAAAAACTTTATCCTCTGCCGGTGATAATGAGATTACCCATTGTGTTCAGTAATCATATCACAGGCAGAGGGGAGGATTTTGTGTGGGAGTGTCTGGGTGTATTGTACGGATTGATTTGTTGTTTTGTAACGCCCTGTGGGCTGTACTATGTTTGTGGATTGGGAATAAAAGAGACTGTATGTGACAGTACAGGGAGTTCCTGCTTAACCCTCAAAGTGAAGTGTCGTCTCATTATTGGGGGAGGATTTATTGTATGCTGTTCCAGTTTGACTGCTAGGCGTGTAAACCTATTCGCATGGTTTTTCCTATTCGGCTGTATACAACATTCATATGCTTGAGAGCATTCATATGCTTCTCCGATTCGGTGGTTGTGGTGTCTGCTGCAGTGCTTGGAGTCCTCAGGAAGCGCTAGGAGCATCCTTCAACGGAGGTACCCAGTCGGGGTGCCAGGTGATCTGTTACAATACCCCTCTACTATAGTCTCTGTCCCCCACTACACTACAGCCTCTGTCCCCCTCTACACTACAGCCTGTCCCACTCTATACCACAGCCTCTATACCCCTCTACACTACAGCCTCTATCCCACTCTACACTACAGACGCTATATACGCAAGATAAAACAAACTATAGAAATTTAAAACTTTAATGAATTAAAATCCAGACCCAGCATTAAACATCAATCCAGAACCAGCTCATTAGATGTACAGGATACTGTCTGTAGTAGCCCCATAACATTCCCAGCATTGTGTCTAATATTGAAAGGATTCTCTTCCATCAGACAGCTTGCCCCGGCCACGGCTATGTTCTGCCCGCCGGCTCTGCTCCTCAAGATGAGACCTGTTGGCTGGTGAATGCGGGACCAACTGTAGAATAACCCGTGTCTTCATCAAGCTTTTCCTTTGCCTAAAAACAAAAATAAAAGAAAGAAATAGAAACATAGAAGAACCATTCGGATAATGCTGCAGAAATTAAAGTGTTGAGAGTCAGAAAACTATGCCAATAGTAGCTTCAGCACCTTTTTGTAATTTTGTATATTTTGTTAGATAGTGGTAGAAAATATATGAAATATACATTGCTTTGTCATGCATAATCTAAAGTATATAACTGCACTAGATACTGTCCAGATCACTGTAACTGTATCACTTTATCAAGTCAGCATTTTAATCATCACTGGCACTTTGTATTCATAAACTGGCAACTGTGCTATAGATTACAGAGATTAGTTTATTCTCGGCTCCTGTGCTATAGATTACAGAGATTAATTTATTCTCGGTTCCTGTGCTATAGATTACAGAGATTATCTTATTCTCGGCTCCTGTGCTATAGATTACAGAGATTATTTTATTCTCGGCTCCTGTGCTATAGATTACAGAGATTATCTTATTCTCGGCTCCTGTGCTATAGATTACAGAGATTATTTTATTCTCGGCTCCTGTGCTATAGATTACAGAGATTAGTTTATTCTCGGCTCCTGTGCTATAGATTACAGAGATTATTTTATTCTCGGCTCCTGTGCTATAGATTACAGAGATTAGCTTATTCTCGGCTCCTGTGCTATAGATCACAGAGATTATCTTATTCTCGGCTCCTGTGCTATAGATTACAGAGATTATTTTATTCTCGACTCCTGTGCTATAGATTACAGAGATTAGTTTATTCTCGGCTCCTGTGCTATAGATTACAGAGATTATTTTATTCTCGGCTCCTGTGCTATAGATTATAGAGATTAGTTTATTCTCGGCTCCTGTGCTATAGATTACAGAGATTAGTTTATTCTCGGCTCCTGTGCTATAGATTACATAGATTATTTTATTCTCGGCTCCTGTGCTATAGATTACAGAGATTATTTTATTCTCGGCTCCTGTGCTATAGATTACAGAGATTAGTTTATTCTCGGCTCCTGTGCTATAGATTACAGAGATTAGTTTATTCTCGGCTCCTGTGCTATAGATTACATAGATTATTTTATTCTCGGCTCCTGTGCTATAGATTACAGAGATTATTTTATTCTCGGCTCCTGTGCTATAGATTACAGAGATTATTTTATTCTCGACACTCCGTTGCCCCATAATTTTCTTACTGCATGTCGCTTTAAGATGTTAATATCAATCTTTATATGCACTTTCATCTTTTTTAGCACTTTACTGATATAGTTGTATCTAATCCGGGCACCAGGTGTTTATCCGATATACTAGATGGTCTTTACTTAGGGGGTAAATTCTTGCTAGTTTCATTTCCTGGTGCGCTTAGCGGTCACCATGGCAGCACCTGTTATGTATTCTGCATTGCCATGGTGACGTGATGACCACAATCACGCATTTGCGGCACCACGTTACGGCAATGCACAACACCTGGGTGAGTCTATTTTTCACGTAACATTTACCTATATAATTGTTTTTGTCTTTGATCCTGAAGAAAGTTTTAATGGAAGACTGAGTGCAGCTTTTCCACCTTCTTTCTTGGATAATAGAGTTCTGGCAGGCACCCGGCATTTGCAACTTTTAGCCTGTATATATATATATTATATATATACACACACACACAAACACACATACATACATACATATACCGTATTTATCGGCGTATAACACGCAATTTCAGGAAAAAATAAACCTTAAATTTCAAATAAAGAACTTCTTACCCCCCTTTCTTACTCCCCCC